TTGTTGCAGTGATGGTATACAGGCAGAGAATACAATTAGTACTATAGTACACCTCTGGGTTCTGCCAGTCAAGCTACTTCTCTTTTTGGAAGCCAAGGAACATTTGAAACAAACACAACCATCTTTGGAAACCAATCAGCCACAAGTACTCTGTTTGGAAATCAACCAGCTGCAACCACCAATACTGTGTTTGGAAATCAACCAGCTGCAACCACAAGTACTCTGTTTGGAAATCAACCAGCTGCAACCACCAATACTCTGTTTGGAAATCAACCAGCTGCAACCACAAGTACTCTGTTTGGAAATCAACCAGCTGCAACCACAAGTACTCTGTTTGGAAATCAACCAGCTGCAACCAACAATAATGTGTTTGGAAATCAACCAGCTGCAACCACAAGTACTCTGTTTGGAAATCAACCAGCTGCAACCAACAATAATGTGTTTGGAAATCAACCAGCTGCAACCACAAGTACTCTGTTTGGAAATCAACCAGCTGCAACCACAAGTACTCTGTTTGAAAACCAACCTGCTGCAGCTTCCAGTACCATTTTTGGAAATCCACCAGCATCTGGTAGTAGTGTGTTTGGAAGCACTGCATCGATATCCCAGACACCTGGTTTATTCGGAAACCCTCCACAGACTGCTGAATTCGTCACTTCCACAGCTTCAGATAGCTTGTACACAAACATTTCAGACCTTACTGATGCAGAGAGAGGACAATTCGAAAGTAAAACCTTCACTCTTGGCAGGATTCCTGTCAGACCGCCCCCTAGAGAAATGATCTAGAAAACATCTAGATTTCTGATGAAATGAAATGATGGTGTTCAAAGTTGTTGGAACCTTTAACATATCAAGTATCATGTAAACCAATATCAATAGCATCCATAATTTATCTGCCTTACCTTACTGAACATCACCAAGCAATTTCTTGGATTCGTTTGTGCTTGTGTTTCCTCAGCTTATGATTTCATTAAATTCTCAAATCACATACACGGATGGACTTTACTATAAAACCAATATTTTTAGTGAAGCATTTTTTATTTAAATTAATTTGTGACACATACCATACTTGGTTTGCTTCCTGCAGAATTCATATAGCATGCTAGGATTTATCGTACTGCAGACAAATTATAACTTAGTTTATAAATGACATGATAATAGTATGTCAGTATGATCTGTATTTATAGGATAATTTACTTGTTGTGAAATCATTCAGATATAGCATGTCACAAGGACTGCAGACCCAATTGTTATACTATAAGTGGCCGATGACAAGAACATTATCTGGCTTACAACACGTCAACCAGGGGTGAATACATTGGATTTGTATGAATAATCTTGTTCCTTTTTTTCGTTTATATTTTACATAGAAATTAACGAACCAAGAAAATAACATCTAT